TCTCTTGTCACTGATTCCTTCTTTCCTCTATCATCCGTGGACTCTGAGGGTGCTCAGAACAACCAAGCTGTGACCCTTGGAACCCTGGACATCCAGGAGATCCGATGGCTCAGACAAGGTGTTCTGCTAGGTTGGCACCTAGGCGAGAGTCACGGAGGCCTAACAGTCTAAAAAAAAAAAAAGGACTTCCACCTTCTTCATCCCTCCCCTATAGGACGGACTTTTTTCAGCTTCTATCAAGGCAACTTATAAACATAAGGTACAAAATGGTCTTATAAAAATCTTGGGGCACCCCTGGGATCCTTTTCCCTGGTGTCTGTTTTAATCCTGCTGGTTGGCACAGGAAGGAGAGGCTGAGTTTCATATTATGACAGGAATGTATGTACAGTTTTACCTCAAATCCTAGGTCCAGCTAATTAATTATACCTTTGGTATTATAAATTTGTCTCATGACAGTTTTCCAAAAGGGAGTTTAAGACAAGTAAATATCAGGTTCTGGGCTACTGCCACTTCAAGGGCTATGACTTAAGAAAAAGAAATCAGTTTTGTTGTCTGGCATATGGACTTCATTAAAAGTTAGGTCGCAGCACTCGGTCTGTGGCTTGTGTTAAGTCTCTACTGTTCAGGTGTGTTCAGGGTCTTTCATCAGATGAGGACAATGGCTTACTATAAGCTTGCTAGAAGCTTGGAATAGATGCCCTTTGCACAAAGACTGGTTAGGGGTCGCCGGTAGGGTCCCACAAAGTCCGGCACCCCACACCTGTCTGTTTGGTGGGAGACTAGGCCTGACAATTTCGGTATCATAATGATTTGCTAAGACATTTGATTTGTGCAAATTGTTCTGTGCAACAGTTTTACTCAAAAGATTAGGTAGGTAGTACATTGGACCATGTGGCCAGATCAAAGATGGCATCTGAGGCCACTCGGCAGGATCCTGTAAAACTCAGAGGTTCCTGTTGCTAGGACTTTGGACTTTTTTTTTTTCTTTTTGTGATCTCTGCTGTCTCATCAGCATTTATAAAGGCAATAATGATTCTTCAGCAATATGTTGCTTTGTCTTCGACAACTTCCTGACCTCTTCCTGAGGGGTTTTGCTAGCCAATTGTGGAGCAATGGTGTTTAAATTAGCAAATGTATGCCTGGGTGCTAACAAAAATTAACTGGTAATTGCTGGTACCCTTGATGGATTCTTGGAGATAACTTGAATTTTTGCAAAGTCTGGATTAGAAAAATTAAAAAGATTTTGTCTGAGTCTCCAAGGATTTACTGCTATGAATTTTGTGTACACAATTTGTTTTGGACATGTTTGCCATTTTGAATCCTGGATTTGTTCAAAAACAAGATTCTAAGTTTCTGCTTCCTACTGAGGAAGGCCTGTTGTGGAAAGCACTCTTTATGCTGCATGATGTAACTGTATGAGGTTTTCATACCCGTGTTATTGCTGTGTTGTTTCTGTTGTCCCTCCCTAGTGTTGGGGAGGTGTAATCTGTGCTTAGATGTTGAATCTGCTCTTTCAGCTTCTGTCCCAGGAAACCCAAGTATTGCCTGCTTGGTGACTAACAAGAGATGACTCCTTTTGCTTAAAAGTTAACTGTTGCTTTTGCTCTTTCCAGCTGCTGTACAGGATACCCCCAGGATTGGCATCTAATAAAAAAAGTCTTCAATACTGAAAACAAGGTCATGTAACCCTTGCGATTAATACAACTTTTTCTTCCTATTTCCAAAGTCTTAGGTTTGTAGGATAACAACTGTAAACTGATTTCTGCCAGCAACATTCCACATATTTTTGGATTTTAACATTTTTTCTGAGCCTATGGAGTAAAACTGCAGTTAAATAAGATATTCCACATGGCATAAAAAAAATACTGTCTATATGTTGTATGTCTGTATGTCCTTTTGTCTAACTGTCTTGGTCTCTAGAGGTTGACAAATTGGTATACATGGTTGAAAGGTCCATGCAGGACGCCGAAATGCAAAACCCACCAGGAAGCCCACCTGGGGGCAGGAATGCAGATACCTGCCTGGAGGATTCAGACAATGAGCCTTCCCCCTCCCCCTAGGAGTCTCTTCTCAGACAAAGAACTTCTACCTGCCCCATGAACCTTTTCACGCCCTACAAACTTTTCCCGCCATATGAACCCAACTTCCCACCTGACCTCTCCTTACCCTATAAAACCCTGCTCCCCCCTAACAATGTGCGTGACTCCACTGACCCCCGCCTTTGGTCCATGGGGTCCGCCTAGGAGCAATAAACTTTCCCTTCCCCCGAGGAAGCTTGGCCTGGCTGTTCTTTATTGTGCCGTACCTTTCAATGGTGCCCACAGACACTGGAAAAAAAAAAAAGAGTCTCCAGCTATGAGAAAAACTAAAGGTTATGGTTTGATTGTCAACATTGTACTACTGAACTAAGCCGGTGCCTTCATAGTGAATCCAAGGGCAAGTTAGGGAGAATTAGGCAGTTTTAGGGACTGTGCAGGAGGGGACCTCTGAAGAATTTAGGAAGGCTTCAGAGATAAGGACAACTAGAGGAATGTACCTAATTCCATTGGGAAAAACAAACATCCCAGGACCAAGGACAACATTGTTAATGCTGGCCTTGGTTTCCTTCAGGTGATAAAGGATGGTGGAGTTTGGGAAAATGGAGAGTGGTTTAACTAGGGCAGCAGACTCATTTATGCAAAGAGGAGATGAAAAGGGGTCAGCACTAAGACAGGTGGGCACCAGCCTGTTTTTCTTCAATAGCTGATGTTTAACATTTTCTGAAATGCAGCGGTGCTCATCTGGGAGACTGGGCCATAAAGATAAATCTATCAAACAAGGGAGAAGATGAAACAAATGGGGAAAGACAAACCTGTTAGATAAGGAATGTAAAGATCTCCCCACCCCTCCAATCCCCATCCCCCCACCCCCATTCCTCACCCCTCCACCCCCTCAGTAGCAAATTAAGTGACACAGCCGAGAACTAACCAATCACAAAGAGACTGGTGGAGCTTTAGAATAATGAGGGAAAGGAGGTCTATATTCCCTGAGACACGGCTCCACTTTGGCTTCCTTGCCCCTCCCTGGCCTGATTTCATGGCCTGGGAGTCCCACTTCATTTCTGTTCCCTTTCTCCTCAATAAACTTTTTCTTTCTCTAAACAAACCTGCCTCTTTTCACTTGCTTGCCTGAAAGTCTGCGAAGTTCCTGCTGCAGCTTCGTGAGACACCAACCCGTGGGAGTGTAGTGGCTGGGACTCAGCACTGCCCCTGCAGCCTGGGATCTGTTCCTGGCTGGGAGACTAGGCCTGACAATTCCGTTATCAACAGAGACTGAATTTTGTTGTTTCTGTTATTTTTCTGATATTTATGGCAAAGCTTCCCAGAAATCTAAATTCAAGTACAAATTTGGTAGCCTGTCATTTGGCTGATGGAAGGAAATTTTGTGGAAACTCAGTAGAGCTCCTGAGACACTCCAAAAGTTTCTCCCTTTCCGCCTGGGAAAGGCGTTAGATGAATTTGTTCTATTTGGCTTACCTAGTGAAGTAAAACTGGAAGGGATGCACTGTCACTTGGGAAAATGGTAAAACTTCGGCATGTACAAAAATGTTAACACTGGTTTTCTAAAATGTGTATGAAACCTCAGTACCTGATATGTATGTAAACTGTCAATGGTGATTGGTGCCTTGTAATAGTGTATACTTCAATTGTTTATTGACAGAAATTGTTTCTGGAAAAATAGGGAAAAAAGACCTCAACAGATTCCTTTTTTTTTAAGATTTATTAATTTATTTATACAAGCACTGGGTACAGTCAGAAGCGCGGGAGGGTGAGAGAATTCACCAGAGCCAGAGTGGGGAGCAGAGCAGGCAGACTGAAGTACACTGCTGAGGGGAGCAGCGGACGGCAGGACAGGTCTGCTCACCATGTGGGACCCTCCTCCAGTGACCGGGGAGCAGCCGAGGATCGAACCAGCGCTGCAGAGGCTGCGGGCAGCTTCGCAACCCAGCACTCAACCGCTGAGCCACCAGGGAGGCCCAGGTTCTTGTTGTTATATTGAGGCACCTCTCTGGTTGAGGAAGAGTTGCTCTTGAAAGGAATAACTTGATTTTTAATCTTGATCTTCAGATAGTGGATGGTAGTAAGCAGATGTTCTGGGAGTTTCACTTTTGTCTTTGCCAGGGGTGTACACGCACATGTGTGCCCCAGTTCTCAGGTTGCTTTGTGGGTGTGATAATAACAGGTGTCTTGTGCCGAGCCCCTCTCTGCAGGCTGTGCCACCAGTCCTCTGCCCCAGCTACTCCACTTTCCTCTGGCCTTCGGCAAATTACATGTGGGCTTTGGTTTTCCCATCTTTAAAATCGTGCTGAAAGGAGTGTCTCTGGTCTCTGGTTTGTTTCGCGGTCTCAGCATGGATAGGAGAGGCTGGCATGTGGAGTGGGCGTGTCTCCTTTTTATAAGTAAAAGTGTCCAGAGCCGTCCAGAGAAGCGCCGTGTTGCGTATGCGTGCCATGAGTTAAGTTTCACTTTACCGTTTCGCTTTCGAAGAACCACAGGTTTTTCCTGTAAATCACATGAGACTGGGAGGTTACGGGGAGGAGTTACCAGGATATAAGAGGAGAATGTGGGAGAGAGAGGAAGAGAAGAAAAGAGATTTAAGAGGAGAACCACGAGAGAGGAGAGTGCTGTGAGAGGAACAGAGAGAAGGCCAGGGAAGTAAGAAAGACAGGGAAAAGAAAGACATGGAAAAGTAAGAGAAGGAAAAGGAAAAATAAAGAAGCATGTGCTAGCGTCAAGTTGTCTCAAGCCCCTCATTTCATCCTCAGCCCTTCTCTTTTCGTGCCTACGAATCCCGCGGTTTGGGACATAAAAGAACCTCAGAGCAGCGAGTGCCTCAAATGTCATTTGGGAGAATTAGTAAAATTAATCTGCCTAGACTCATGTGCTAATGAGTCATTTCTGTCAATACTTGTCCTTTATTTCAACCTGGCCTTAGATAATATCTCCCTTTGGTTTCTTGTAGGCACTGGGAAGTCCCTGGTTGGTGTGACGCAGCATGCATAGTCAGAAAACGCTGTCTGGTACTGGGCAACTCAGCGGTGTCTGTGGAGCAGTGGAAAGCCCTGTTCAAGATGTGGTCTGCCATAGATGACAGCCAGATCTGCCGCTTTACCTCTGACGCCAAGGACAAGCCCATTGGCTGCTCCATTGCCATGAGCACCTACTCCTTGTTGGGCCATACCACCAGAAGGTCCTGGGAGGCTGAGCGAGTCATGGAGTGGCTCAAAACTCAGGAATGGGGCCTGGTGATTCTAGATGAAGTTCACACCATCCCAGGTAAACAGACTGAGAGCTGAGCTGCTCACTCATTGTACACACAGAACTGTCTTCCAGCTATTGTGCTGAGGGAAGAATTACTGTGTGGTCTATCCATCTTGCTAGAAAGGCATGTTGGGTGGAGCTTTTAGATCATTAGTACCTGTGGGGTGAGGGTGACTGGTAGAAGGATGTCCATATTTACAGCCTCCTTAGCCACTGACTGATAGTCATTTAGGAAATGATATTTAAGTCCTTTCTCCAGCTTGCTGCTTATTACAGGTCAAACTAACCCTCAGTCCATTTTTTGATGACCCTGTGAAAACTGGGCTAGGAGTACTGAAAAATCTTTGAAATACAAATCGTTTCTAACTCTTGTTATTTTCACCCTTCTGTATGGGTCTAAAGTGATAGTTAAGCATTGTCATCTAGTCATCCTATCTAGAGCCAGATTTCTGTGGGCCAGAAACTTGGGGCTTAGTCCATGTGGTGTGAAGCAAGAGTGAAGTTCCAAGACTGTATGTGTTACTCGAGCATTGAAAATGTAATAGTGTGATTATTTGCCCAGCCAAGATGTTCCAGCGAGTGCTCACCATTGTGCAGGCCCACTGCAAGCTGGGTTTGACTGCAACCCTCGTCCGGGAAGATGACGAAATTGTGGATTTAAATTTTCTGATTGGGCCCAAGCTCTATGAGGCCAACTGGATGGAACTACAAAACAACGGCTAAATCGCCAAAGTCCAGTGTGCTGAGGTAACTGTCCCCTTCCCGGCACAGTCTCTAAGGGTTAAGGAGAAATGGACCAGGTCACTTCCTCTGGCACAGGTACACTGGTCAGGGCCAGAGCAGACTGCTGCCCCTTCATGTAGTTCCCAGGGGCCTCCCCACCTCACACACTTGTGAGCCATAGTTGATTGTCCAGGGGCACCAGTCAGTGAGCGCAAGTCAGTATGCTAATCCAGCCTGGCCCAACTGCAAAGTGCATTTGTCTCATCCTCTTCTCTGGGAGTGAGTGCCTCAGGGTGTTCTCGCCCACCCTCTCTGCTGTGAGGTTCTTGGTTGGTCTTGTGTGGGTGACCGTCCAAGCTATCTCTAGTGTCAAAGCCTGTTGGTTTTGATGCCTCTCAGTGATTACTTGTGGGTGTCGAGAATAGGTTATTTCTAAGAACACATTTTCCCAATTTTGCTCTGTAATGATTGCCTGTACAGGTATATGTTAAAAATATATGCTCAAAGGTAAGTCTTCTCAGAAGGAACAATTAAAATCATTTCTAGAGGCTGAAGTGGGTTGGCCTCTGTTTTGAAAGGATGGAAAGGAGCCTGTTGGTGAAATATAAACTTTCTTTGTTGAAAAAAATCCCTTAGCCTTCAGTTACAGCTTTTTAAGCAGTGCCCATCTTATGAAAGAGCCTGTCAGAATCATTGAGGCTCCTTGTTCCATCTAGAACACCTTCCCTTCCACCCCTCCAACCACTGCCTTAGAACTTAGTTTGTCATTCTATTGCCTTTTTGTTATTTTGCCTCCTGTGTGTATTTCCTGACCTAACATTGTTTCGCTTTAGCTGTTTTTTTCAGAATCTTTACATATATGCAAATAGAATCAGGTTTTATATGATCTTGTATGACTTCTGTCTTTGTGTGATATTTTTATTTTTTGCATAATATGTTGTGTTTTTTTTTTTACTGATGCATGTAGCTATAGTCCATTCCTTTGATTTGCTCTGCAGTGTCCCATTGTACGAATACACCACAGTTTAAATTACAATGGAATATTATACAACAGTTAAAAAGCAGCATTTCTAATGGTAGACATTTGGGTTGCAGTGTTGTTCTATTAACACCTTTATCAAGATTTAGTTTAAATTTCATTATATTCCCCTGTTGTAAGTGAATTCTATGCTTTCAGTCAATAGAAACAGTTGTGCAGCTGCCCTGCAATCAAGTTTTAGAATATTCCCACCCCTTTTCCTTATGCTCCTTCACAATGAATCAAATTTCTGACTCCCAGCCTTTGACAGTCACTGATTCTGTCCTTAAACTTAGATCTTTTTTTTTTGCTTTTACCATCATGATAATGTTGCTACAAATATTTTTGTATCTGTTTTTTTTTGTGTCAGAGTTTTTGTGAAGTCCTGTTGTTCACTGTGAACTGTGACCCCATAGTAGTGTGTCATGAACAGGATAGAGAATCTGCCAGCATGCAAAATATGTATTAAGGGAATAGTGTTTCAGAAAAACTGGTAAGTGTGATGTGGTATTCCTTTTGTCTTAATTGGTATCTTTTTGTTTACTAATATTAAGTATTTTTTCCTATATTTGGGCCATTTATGTTTCAGATCTATGAGATACAAGATTTTAAATATTGTGAAAAAATTGCTTTTGCTATAAAGAATTAAAAACTATAGTCATATGGTTTACAGAAAACCAGAAAATATAACAACAGCAAAACCTGTGGATTTGAGCGCAGCATAGGTTATGTGTAGGGTCAGGAATGGCCACGGAGCAGGTTTTCTGATCCAACAGACTGGGTAAAGGAGGAGTCAGAGTCCTCAGTGGCTTTTGCAGGTCTTTTATTTAGATTTATCAGGCACATGGCAGGCAGGGGTGCTGGGGGTCGGGAGGTTGGCTGTCCTCCCAGCCCCGGCAAATCCTCACTCTATCTGGGCTCTCTGGTGTTCTCTCTGCTTTTCCTCTTCTCTCAGCTTCTGTTCGTTCCTGGCTGCTTCTCGCGTCCCCGTGTCGCCACCCCTAAAAGTCCAGCCTTAGCCCAGGTGAATCCCATCTACATATGCCCACACCCTACTCCAGGTGCTGCCATCAGGCATGCATTCAGGACAGCAGGGTTCCGTCATCTATCCTAATAGTGGGAGGACAGAAAAGCCTGATACTTTGTTCCTTACCCTACAGGAGCCAAGGTGGATATGAGAGGGTGTTTGGAGTTTCAGGCCGAGTGAATGCTCCGGGTGAAGTTGGGGTTAGACTGTATGGGTCAAGGACCAGGAAGGCAGGGGAGACTAGGCCAGCATCTCACATATCATCCAGCATCTAGAAAGCTTTTCAGGAACACCCATCTGAATCCTCAGAAGCTCATAGCTCCACCCAGTACCTGTTGTTTAAGACCTGGCTATTGCTAATTCTCTGCCAAGTAAGAAGCCTGTGTTTCCCTCTAGTGATGCAGGGTTGTAGGTACTGTGAGTTAGCAAATGGTAAGGACCTTTTTTTTTAAAGATTTATTTATTTATGCATACAAGAGCTAGGGTACAGGCCAGAGGTCTGGGGTGGGGGTGAGAGGATTCACCAGAGACAGAGTGGGGGACAGAACAGGCTGATTGACCAAAGTACACTGCCGTGCTATGTGGGTTGCTCCCTGGCCAGCCGGGGATTGAACTCATGCTGCAGAGGCTGCGGACTGCTTCATAGTGCAATGCTTAACCCCTTGCGCCACCAGGGAGGCCCTAAAGGCAGACACTTTTGATTATTTTCTATATTTACTTTCATATTTCTAAGTAGTAACTCATATAGTAATTTCTTGGTGAATAATTGGAGAAATTGCCTATTAACTTTCTACTATGGGAATTGAGGATTTAGGTCTCTTGTTTATGCTGCCCCCACCCCCTTCCCCATCTTATTTTGAATCTATATATGTGTATATGTAGATTCAAACCACGTAGTGTACATGTAGTGTATGCTTAGTTTTTTTTTTGTAAACAAGTTTTTTTGTTTTTTTTGTTTTTTTTTTTTGTTTTTTTGCTGATGCTAATCATTGCCTTCTCGCTGCATTTACTGAATCCTCTCCACAGTCGCACCACTGTAGTCTCCCTCTCAGTTGTGTCACCCTTGTCAGGTAATTTTTCATTTCTCTTTTTTCTTACTTTCCCTAGTGGGATCCCTACCAGTACCTCATCCTCCTGCTCTGGCCTGCATGTGCTCGAGGATGAGAGCCACCCAGCTGTCATCTTTGGGCTTCCCTCTGACATCATCCCGTGTATTCCCTGTGCCTCTCCCCGGAATTACAGCCCATTCCATATTTCAAGTTTCTGTTTCTTTGTTACTCCTTTCAGTGGAACATATCCTTTTCCTGAGAGAACTTAAGTAGGAGGAACATTTTGTAAGACTTTGCTTACAGATATCTTTATTTAAACTCACCTTTGATGCTCTTCACATCGTATACATCTTTTACCCTTTACAGACTCACCCTTGACTAGTACTTTGCACCTGAGAACATTTGAGGACTCAGTTCGGGACTTCCAGCGCAGCTGTCGGAAGTCAAGTGCCCTCCTGAGTCCTCTTGCTGTGATCTGTTGTGGTGGTGATGTGTTTTCCTCCTCTCAGGAAGCTTTTAGGATCCTTTTTTTCAAAACAGTATGTTTAGTGTGATCTTTTTCCTTATGTTGGGCACTTAATAGACCCTTTTCATCTAGAAATTCATGTCCTTCATTTTTGAGAACTTTCATATTTCCTGTTATTCAGCTTTTGTTTTCTCTGTTCTCTTTTGCATCCTTGCTGGGCAGGTGTTAGATCTTCTGAACAGCATTCTGATTTTCTTTCTTTCCCCCTTTTTCATTCCTTTGTCTTCCAATCCATCTGTTAAAGCTTTTGCTACTTTCCAAGAGTTCTTTGTTGACAGTTATTCTTATTTCATGAGTAGATTGTCTTCTCTGAGGCTAATAAAGCTTTTGACACTTCTTTGGTTCCTGAAGAGTTTCTCTTTTCAAGTTTTTTTTTTGCTTTGATTGTTTCTCCTCTGTATTCAGAGCACTTCTTCTGATGTTCGGTATTAGCTGTATCTTCTTGTTCAAAAGTCTGTCACTGAAAAACTGATTAGTTTCTCTGAATAGCTTGGTGGGTTTGCTGACCTCTGGACCTCACCACAGCGTGATTAGGCGGGGACCCAGCTACTTTGTTAGAGGTTACTGAATGCCTGTTATTTCTAGGTCTTTTCTCTTGAGCTTGACAGTTTCTCTAGAGAAGGAACCTTCTGGTCTCCTGGTTACCAGTATGTAGTACAGGAGGGAGAAGTGAATCTCCTTCACCCTTCACTTGTAGCATTTGCTTTTGCTCTCAGCTCTGCTTGAGGTCTTTAACTATATGGGACATTCAGAATCTAGAGTCTTATGACAGGTGGGAGGAGAGACTGCCTGGTCAGCTTGCAACTCCTATTGTCTTGACTCTTGTGAGTTTGTGTCCTTTATCACATTAGTGTCTACTTGAGAGGGGCAGCAAAACAATGCATATATTTACCCTGTAGTTTAACAGCCATCTTCTCTCTTTGTTCATCTGCCCATTCTAGTACTCCTTCCAGATTCTCCCTGGTGCCTGCCTTGAGTGGCCTCATTGATACCTACCTGCAAACACACCTGGGGCTTGTGGTTGTGGCTTTCTGAGCATCTGCCTGGTTTGGACTTTGATGTTCTGGCTCAGTAGAGGGGGAAGGCTGTGCTTCCTATGGATGATAGAATTATGGCTACAACTTTTAATTATTAGTACCTCTGGCCTCTAAATGCTCAAAGTGCTTTTGTCTGTCTTGATTTCTTGATGTAAAATGTGTCTCTGGCGTTGCTGTATTTCGTAACTTGGGACTGTTGCAGGAAGTCTTTAAGTCTGCATGAGAAGAGTAGGTGTCGCTAAGCACTTTGCAGGAGATACTGTGAGTAATTTGTTAGTCCATGAGACTTGGAGCCAGACACACTGTATTTGAGTCCCAGCTCCTCTCTTTTGCTGTGTGTCCCAGGGAATGTTGTTTACGTCTCTGG